AGACCCACAGGAGCTGGATGCTACCAGATCTCGCCCGTGTGGGTGATCGCACAGCGCGGCCGGCCGAGGAGAAATGAAACCTCCCTTCAGACTGTGTACTGAGTTCATTCCCAACCAGAACAACTACAGACAAGGCGATCGGAACATGGGGGGTGACCGGAACATGGGGCGACAGCAGCCGCCCCACAGGGCGCTGGATGGGGTGCCCACGGCTCCTGGAAACTGCGCTCCTCCCACCAGCTCCTTCATCTCCCCTCCCCTCCCCTCCCCTCAGAGAGCAAACCCCATGGCACTTTGCCAGTCACTTCATTTAGCTGCTGAGTTTGCTTAAAACCAGTAACTTCTTCCTCCGAAAGCTTATTTCCATCTCTGCTTCTGCATTTGTCTTCAGTGGCCTTTTGTCTGTTAGTTATAGTCGATCAGGATAAGAGGGTTCGGATATATTGTGACATACGTCAACGTGAAAACAGCACCGGAGTGGCCAGCACCTCGAGGGCCTGCAGACCTCGCCCGCCAGCCCCTCCCGGCAGCCTGCCCGCGAGCCTGCCTGTGGGGTGCAGGCCGGAGGGTGGGATTTGTCCTGCTTCACCCTCTAACGGCCCCTCCAATAAACTGTGGGGGGCGGGAGGTCAAGGTGACAATACCTTTGTTGTTTTTTAAAAAATGTGTCTTTAAGAAATTTGACTTCAGAGAGAAGTGAGGAGGAGAGAGAGATAGAAACATCAATGATGAGAGAGAATCATGGATCGGCTGCCGCCTTCTGCACGCTCCCCATTGGGGATGGAGCCCACAACCTGGGCACATGCCCTGACGGGAATCGAACCCTGACCTCCTGGTTCATGATTCGATGCCCAGCCACTGGGCCGCGCCGGCCGGGCACCTGAGACCTCATCATGCTCTGGACATGGACACAGAAGCGCACGGGCTGCCTGCCATGTGCAGGGCCCAGAGGCTCCGTGCACAGAGCGGTTTATTGAGCTGCTGCCCGTGGCCACGGAACAGCACTGGACGGGAGACAACACGGCCCCGGGCGGCGGGGTCCTCGCTGGTGTCTGTGCTTTGTGGGTCCGGAGGCTGCGGCCGCGGTGCCCAAGGGATGTGTCAGCCTCCCGGCCCAGGGTCCCCGCTAACGGGCGAAGTCCAGGAACCTCCGGACGGAGACCTCAGGGCTCGGGGTGCGATCGCTGCCCCCCAGGCACAGCGGACGTTCCACAGCAGTCACCCAAGTGCCAGCTCGGAGTCATGGGCACTGGCCGTGGCGGGGGGTCCGGAGGCTGCGGCCGCGGTGCCCAAGGGATGTGTCAGCCTCCCGGCCCAGGGTCCCCGCTAACGGGCGAAGTCCAGGAACCTCCGGACGGAGACCTCAGGGCTCGGGGTGCGATCGCTGCCCCCCAGGCACAGCGGACGTTCCACAGCAGTCACCCAAGTGCCAGCTCGGAGTCATGGGCACTGGCCGTGGCGGGGGGGCGGC